AAATATTTTCGGATTAATCCGAATAATACTCGTATGTATGTAGTTTTTTTTTAAATAATGCTTAGTGTTTCGAAAATATTAGTTTTATTTAAACTAATATTTTCGAAAGATTCTTTTAAAGTTATGTAGCATGTATTGAATATAAAATAAATATTACTGAAAAAGTAATCCGAATAATACTTATAATCTTCAAAACATCACAGAGATGAATAAAGTCATAAATTCACAAATTCAATAACAATAAGGGAGTGCTTCAATAATTCAATAAATCGAATTAATCAAAGGCTCATCTTTCCAATGTAACAGTCAAACAAGAACTCAACATGAAATCATTCTGTTTGATTTAACTTCCTTAAACGTCTCAATTTCCGAGTCGATCGAGAAATGTTGGAATTTTCATTCCGAAAACAATAAAGCCCTTATCAAATTTTCAGCCTATACGTTTTTACCGTCGTAAAGTTTTAGTGTCGGGATTCATAGAGGCTTTTTTATGAATGAAATCTATAGGTGAACTATGATTTCATCAGTCGATATTGCATTGTAAGGTGGAATATTGATATTAAGAAATTGTAAGGTATTGAGGTAAGAGAATTGAGGTATTATTATGAGTCAAGAATTTATACGAACTAAAGCGAAACCTTTGCTACTTAGCTTCTTAGTTTGATACGTTATTATTGTAGATTCCAAAGAATTTGTTGTCAATTATCTTATTTATTATTAGCATCTAACTAATAGTTTGTAGATGAAAAATTTAAATAAGTGTGTTTTAATTGTTTTTCCTATTATCATAATTATTATACAATTTTATATTCCATTGAATAAATGAGCATGATATTATATTAATTAAACTCTGTTCAAAGATATCCTAATGTATCACTTTCTAAGTACTCCTATATATTTAATTGAAAATGTTAACAAATAAAATTAATCATACAAAGTTATGTAATTTGTTTTTCTACACAAGCAAATCTCGCGACAAACTTTTATTTCATATAAACTGTATAACAAAGGGATCGTGGAAGTTTTAAAATAAATATTTTCTTACGTTTTTACTTTTATATTTTTGTTACCTGTTGGTTATCACTAGACATTACTGCCAAGTTGGTTTTTAAAACGTTTCATTTGATACCCGTTTTGTAGAAAGTCTCTTAAGAATTACTTATCCCTTTTTTTAGATTAATAATGTCGTCCCTAGATAAGTTTAGCCAGACAATCATTCAAACTGGACATTTAGAGACTCTGCTTCTCTATATTCTACAATTGGGTAAAGGAGTTGAAGCTGACTAGAACATCCACAGCGAAGTAGTACCAGGAGGAATACTCATTCATGACCTTCACCTCTGAAAACATATCAATAGTCGAAGATGTCGTATTGGAACTTCTATGCTTGACCAAAAGGTCATAGAAGTCATAGAGCTCTTTCATGGTGGAATTTAAGTATATTAACCAACGAATTGCATGTGAACAAAGTCTGTGAGCGTTGGAATCGGAGAATGTAATCCGAAAAAATAGAAGTCGACAGATCGAGGCCAACCCTAAAAAAATTCCAAACAAAATAGGATTCTTTTGCTTGGTGGCCGTCGATAAAGCCTGGTGCTGAATCCATGATTTTGTTTCAGAAAGCAAACAATACACAATGACTTGTCTACAAGCTTCTTCCCCCACGCCAAAGAGATTCAAGGTGTTAGGTTCGACAGAAAAGATGATATTTTTCGTTTATCGGAACGCTAAAGGAATTGTAATCTGAATTATTTGACCTTGTGGGAGGCTGTCAAAAAAATAAGAAGTCAAATTTCCAACTGGAATATTTATCTATAAAGAAAACAGTACTGGCTCGTAAAGCCATATTACAAACTACTTTTAGACCACCTTTCTTCCAAGTGCCAAGAACATGACAATTAAACAATAAAGGCTGTAATATATATGTTTTGTAGCATGATTCAGTTTCTCCACATCTATAAAATCCGTTTAAAACCTGTCAGAGATTAACCGGAAAACCAGACAGACAAAGCAATGTTGAAAAAATAAGATTTGTATATATAACAGAATATAATGAAACAAATCTATAAAATAATATTCGCGAATGACCGATATAAAATCAGTTTTAAGAAATTCCATTACTGAAAACTGCTGGCTTGGGAATGCAAAAAAGGTTAGACCCTAAAAGCAGTAACAAGTTCATGAATATTTCCCTGCTTTATATTTTATTACGTATTTATTTGCAATTTTAATAACAACAATCAAAATAAATATGAATTTGAACAATTTAATCTTTTAATCGTCAACCAATATGATATAATTTTCGGCCCTTTTCTTATAATCAAGTTATTGTTCTGCGTTAATAAATTTTGTAAATGACAACCTTTTGAGTACTTTTAATAACAATAAATTGTAATATTGTATTAATAATAAGTAAAATCCGATTTTTTTGAAGTTAGTTACTTTGATATCAGAAAAATGATTAAAGCATCGTTTCTCTCAACAAATTAATATTTTTCATTTAATAATTTATTAAATTAGTTTTAAAAACACTATTTCCTTAGTCACTATCATTTTAGTATAGAAATAAAACGTTGATATAATAAAGATTATATATTTTTTTTATTATTATTTCTTTCCGTTATTTGTATTCTTTCCTCGGTAACTTATGGCAGTAAGTACAGACTGTGGTCAAACTCGATTGTCATTTTTCTATTTTTACATACCTTTCAATAAATAAACACACCATCCACCAAGAAGTACCTTAAGATGGGCTATTAGGTTTGTATGAAAGAAACTTTAAGAGTTATTGAAAGAAATAGTCTTACATAAGACTTTATTATAATCATTTCTCTGTTTTTTTTACCAATCAAAACAACATGCTGTATATTTCCTTATCTTTAAAACTAACACAGCTTGTATTTAATGATTATTCATTATCTTCGTTGATCGGGTAAATCAATCCAAATCAGACATTAATCCCATATTCAGGGAACACAGAATCAATCGGGATACCGTTATCTCATTTATTATGAACACGATGAAACTACTCCGCTCTACTGAACATTCCCGTTGACCGATCCTTGCTCGGTTTTCATTATTATTTTTTTCACATATTATCAATATTATATTTTATTCGATTAATCATTACATTCTATTTGAATAGTAAATACATACGATTTCTGATATACCTAATTAATATGTTTCCTTTCTTAATCAAAAGTATGTCACGTGAAATTAATTAAATAACAATATATTTTTATCTAATTATTATATTTTTGATATACATTATATTTTAAATAAAATTTAATATTTCGTTACATAATAAACTGGTAACTAGAATGTTAAATAATTTTAATAGCCTCTTATAAATCAAGAATTTCAGCACTCTATTTTGTGTGACTTGTGTTAGATTTTTATATATGAAATGAGCGTACTAGTTGAGCTTTAAGTGCGATGACGTCATGGTGTTATCAGAAAAGTAAGACGTCCATTAGAAACTGGACTCACGCGGCTCACAGCGGGATTCGGACGTTAGAGAAATTTATTACATGAACACTATTCCTTGTTTTTATACAATTCATTTTCTTATATACATTTATATAACAAACAGTACATTATGTATAATGTACATACGAAGAGTTAATTATTGATGTTGTCAAATCTATTTTATAGCATGCTAAAACACTTATAACACTAAGTATACAATAATTTCACAAAAAAAAAACTAAATTATCAAAGTAATTAATTGAAAGAAAGTAATATTATTCGGATTAGATGGTCTAAATATCTAAGAGACAGTGACCACATATTTTGTTAGTGCAATAGTGCTCACGTATTTAAAAGAGAATACATTTTGTCAAATCATTTACCACAAATCATATTTAAAAGTTCAATGTATTTTTTTTCTTTATTGTGAATGATGATAATCGTACACTTTAAAAGGATATTTTTACAAAGGAACTTGAGGTTTAATAAGTTCCACTAGCTGGATTTTGCCGTGTTTGGGGCGACGAAGCGAAACTCGAAATTCCGACAAAAGGGTTCCAAAGAATAACTACGGTTAGTTCGTGGGAATACTTTTATAACTATTCGGCTAACTAGTTCTCTTAGTAGATTTTGAGTGGATTCAAACTAAGAATATGTCCTTTCTATTTTGTGCAATTAAAAAGTATGTTTGAATTGTAAACTAATCAAATCGCTTTTGTATTAGTATTTATCTAGTAGACGAAATAAAAAACCAGCAGTGTGTACTGTGGAATCAGATATGAATATTTCAACAGTCGCAAAAATTTTCACAAGTTATTATTAACGTTAGATTTGAATGGACGGATAAAACACATGGTGTAGATGAAAATCTATACTATCAATACATGTACAGAAAGGACTGATGGTTAACATTAAAATAAGATTTTTTTCTCTATATGTAATTCAGTTTTATATATGTTTCATATTTTATTTTTTCCTCCCAAAAATTTTGAATATAAAAATTAATCAAAATTATTTTACTTAGTTTGTTTGTATTTATTGGAACTATAAACAAATGCTTGACAGTTGATACATTAACAAACTATTGCCCATTACTGTTTTATGTAAATTCGATGTTTAGGGTCCATATTGTAAGATATACATGGAATAAATTATATATGAAATAATGACAAATGAAACATACATATATATATGGAATATAATAAACATGCTTTAATGACAAGATGCAATATTCTTTATAAAAGAAAAATTAACTGATCAAACATATTTCAAGTTCTGTAGCCAGACTCGAAAATTTCAAGTAAGCTTTATTCTCATTTTATTACTAGTGCTGCCATCTATAGCGCGACAATTGTTACTGTCAGCATGACACAAGAACAAGTTTAACACGTTTACCGTACTAAAACTCCAACAACTTCCAGCACTTATCAATAGATGGCGCTGTTTTCAAAATTGATTAACACTCAAACTCTTATTAAATACTCAATATGTAATTTAATAACATGCTTATCTGAAATTTAATAGATAATTTATTAAATTACCTGATCAATATCGATGTTTGCGAAGCTGGCCTCCCAGAAATCTTCAATATTTTCAGGGAAATCCTCTTCTCTGATTGGATCGGGGCTCATTCCGGGATCCCTCGTTTTGAGTACAAATATATGACCTCCATCAACTTCCTCGGGTCTCCACGCACCACACATAGTAACAACTGTTCTTTGTTCAGTGTCTTTCAAATCACTTTCACATTTTAAAGTTGGTTTTTTGAAATTTTCAACCACATCTTTATTAGCATCACTTTCAAGTTTAATTTTCTTTATCGGTATATGTTCTTCATTTAAACTACTGTTTGAACTTCCATTCGACATATTAAAAATCTTTTTAAAAGAGAACTGAAATCCTGGATTTGGAAATTGCAATTTGTTAAAAAAGTTTCTATGTCTATTAAATAATTTTGCTATGATGTTATATTTACTCATATCTTTTTTTTATATATAAAATGAAATTATTTTGTTTCACTATCATCCAACACTAAATATCATATATACACTTACAAATACTTAATTTACATATTATTATTAATTAAATGCGCAATATTATAGATATATGCACTTTTTAATATAAAAATAATAACATAAAAACAATTCATATATGTTTTGTTTATGCCAAGGGAAAGTAAATAAATATTGCTAGTTGAGATACAAACAAAATAATTAAAATAAACAAGTGATAAATTAATAAACTTAAATAGAAAGTAGATAACTAAAGCAGCTTCACTTCGAAATGAACACTAAAACCCACCGAAACGATATAAATAAGTCTTTTAGGTTATTCTTGTACTCGAAAACCGCGCCGTGTGAATGTCATCTGTCATTGACTATGAAACGATGTAAACAATGCCATATTTAAAAATGGTGTTATTTCCTTCATAAAATATTTTATATTTATATTTTTTATAAACTGCTTCTAAAATTTATTTAAATAAGCAATAATGAAAAGTATTACTAAAATTCTTTTTTTCCATACTGAATTTAATATTGGCTCTAATATGTTATTGAATTATTTTTAATAGACTATAGATTAAATAATGTTATGCAATCAACTTTTTTAACGTTCATTTTATATTTTTTGTAGCGAAATATAATATATATTTATTAAATAATTTTTATTTTGCGTGTTATTTAATAAATATCTTCATTTTATTTTTTATTACGTTTTTAAAATTTATATAGATATGCATTGTTCTAACTTATGTTCATTTACTTCATTGTAGATAATTGTTAAATATTCTATTATTGCACATTTAAATTTAGAATTTGTAAAAATATATGCGAATGGCTATTTTACGTAACATTGGCATAAATTTGTTTAGTTAATATTAGTATCTATTATCTAAGTAATCTCTTCTACTTATTTCGACATATTTTGTTATTATTTCACTTAATACTTAATTGTCTTGACAGACAAGTAAATGAATAGCTGGCGATTCGATTGAGTTTCATAACGAGATAAGGATTTAAATAACAAATAATATAAATTAAAAAGCATCATTAAGGTTATTTTGTTAGTATTTTAATTCACGATACATTCACTTTACGCATTATGGATAGTGAGATTAATTAATTATGTTATTATTAAAAAAAAACTGTATATATATTTTTTTTCTATCGAAACCATCACTTTTTCACGGTATTGTCACAACAAACGCAACAGTCACACGCATAAAGTAAGAATTTGTCTTTCATCCCCACAAAATGGTTTCAAAACACAATGAACGAAAGTAGAAGGTTTCTCTCAACAAAAACATCGGTCGTTTTCACAGAAAATAGACGAAGAATCGCTTGTAGACAGTTAACCCCATCGAGTTATTTACATGTAAAACGGGGTTAGAAAAAAAATAAGCTGTTACATAAACAGATATTTGAATGTAAAAGGTTAACGGTTTGCTATAGGCGTGGTTTTAAATTTTGAATTCAAAATATAGAATATATAAAATTTTGTTTACTTTATTTAATATTTGTTACATCTTTTTAGGAATAAAATATAAGATAGCTATAAATTATATCAACAATTATATCGCTGAAACATTAATATGATTCTAAAAATAATGAAAATTATATTTTCTTGCATTTTTGATTATAATAAAAATATTATTTTGAAATAGTTTAGTAAGTTTTCAAGAGATGGCGTCAGTAGTAGCGATCACCGAACGTAACAAAGCTGTAAAGTTCAAATTCAGTCGCGTCATTGCAGCTGTTAGTTCACACTGCAAATTGTTTTCATCTAGACGAAACTTAACATAAATACTTTTTACAGATTGGTTCACAATATAAATTAATACTCATTTTTGATTACCTCGAAAACTAATTCTATCAATTGTTTATTTCAATTTGAATTAAGAACTCCGATGATGCTTTAACTTTGACAGGTAATTGACAGCAAAAACAGACAAAGGTCCATCCGACATAATTCTTCATTTTATTTTCAAAAAAAAACTTAATAAATTATTTACTTTTATATTTTATATGCCCAAGCGTATGATATTAACACGTGAAATATTAAGTCCAGTAGACTTCGCGCACTCAGTCGATTGCTCCGACGGTAATCACTCAGGGCGGCGACATCTGTGAAGTATCAACTAAATGATCCGCTGACGTGAAAAATGAACATATCGTAATAGTTACATCTTAAGTTGGGCTTAGAAAAGAAGCGAACGTCTAATAATTTATAGAAATATCTTTTCATAAACATAACTATTAATTCTTTTTTTTATAAAATTAGGCTTTATTTGATTCCATAGATTTGGTATAACTATTATCGATTTTTTATTAAACGTTTATCACTACATCGTAAACTTTTTTTACTCATTCAAGTTGAAAAATAACGATAGTTTTGCCTTGTTTTACTTGTAAAACGACAACATCTCTACTTTTGTGGCTCCATAGAAGAATCGCAGGCTCACAAAACGAGGAAAATAGTTATATTAGTGTTGGTTTTTCTCGCCATCCGTCATAGACAATCCTAGCCGTCTGAGAGACTGCAGCCCACAACACTATCACTCTGTTCTTATTAACTTTTTATATTTTCCTTTGTTGTTTTTGGTCCCATACAAAAATACTAACAAAAATCATTTCTTTTTGATACATAAACATTAAATAAATAACAATAACGATCTATATTTTAATGAAAGAATCGTCTCTTTTTGATACATTAAATTGTTACTAATAAGTTTATCTATATTTTAATCAGAGTTTATGTAATTAACGTCAAACCGAGCTGTACAGTAGTAACATTTGAACCGACCCTAACTAACTGTAGTGTTTATAAACAATGTTCTCAAACTCCGTGTCCGTCAGAATTAGTCCGTAACTATCAGCGGCTCACGGCTCAGCCCACCTCGACCATAAATTAGTAGCCACTTGGACTGTACAAGGGTTGAACACGGTTACATTGTTTGACGTCATTACTACTATACATACATAGGTAAACTAGAAGTATTTATTATTAGGAACTTTAATTGACTGATATAGTTTGTTATAATGTATTAATATAAATTGTATATAAAAGTAAATAGGGATATGAACTTTATTTGATTTGTAATTGGTTGTTTAGTTATTAAAGTGGAGATGGAATGGAAATTGTATCAGTGAGGAGTTAATAAAATATTTATATAAAACCTTAAAAGTATATAAATATAGATTAAAAAATATCTTATAATCGTCTTAAAATTATTATTAAGGTAAATAATTGATATAAAAACAAAATAATTAAGTTTTTTGGAGTGGTAAGCTTTAAAGAGTAAAACTTATAACAATAAATGAATTAGTTTCGCTTTTATTATGGAAACGTATATAATATACAACATTTTATTATCATACATCTCTATATATTTATATAAATGTTCCTTATAAACCAACTAAGTAGTACATAATTCAGAGTCGTGTCATTTTAATCAGTGGACACTCGCTATAAAGCATGGGCCATAGACTTTTAATCAATCTGCACGAGCGCTGGGAGAACAGAAATGGCGGCAGGTTAGTGAGCGGCTTAATTAAAACCATAAGGAAAATGCCGTTTAGACGGTTTTTTGTGCATTTTTTGTCAGCACATGTTTTAGATTGGAATAGTTTGCTTGGTTCATCTAAATTTATGTTTTTCGAGTCAGTCATTAGTATTTTTTTTGGACATATTATATTGGTTAAAAGTTTTCTATTTCCTTTTTAATTTTAATTTATACCTATATGTTACATATACCTGTAGTAATATTAGCGACTGTAGTTTAATCTTTACGGCCAATGGAGGTTGAACATTTACAGTATTTAATGGGAATATTATTCAAAGATATAAAGGAGGAAGAAAATTGCACTTTTGTTACATAAAAACAGAATACATTACCAATTTCAATATAAGTATATTTTTATATATTGTTCTATGAAACACATTGGCTGAAAAATGAGGTATCATTCATTAATGATTATGTAAATATACGAATTAATTACATGCTTATTGATAATAACTTTAAATCTTACGTTTTATTTCCTGTACTATTTACTGTGACTGTTTTCAATATGTAAGCTAATATGTAAAACTATTTATACTATAGAATTCATGTTACCGAAATGGCGCGCTAACGAATTAAGACGTCATCGTATGTACCTAAACCAAAAAGACAAAATTTTCAGGAATGACCTATCAACTAAAGATTGTAAAGACCTATATTATATACGTAAAACTTGCAAAATCAAATATGCCATAAAGGTTCCATACATAAAATAAAAGCTTACAAAAAAGCAGACAATTAAATATTTGCAACTGAAAACCATCTGAATCCCAAAACTAATAACAAACAAGACGCCGGTTATATAAATAATTTATGAACGAAATCCACATCCAGCTCATATATTTAAAAGCAATTCGCAAGCCGTGTCCAATCCAGGATCCGCTCCATTCGGAGTATTCAAAACAATCCAGTATCCACGCATCACAGGTCCCGCGGGCCTCGTTCCGCTTTACTTTTTCATTCCCAACCCTATATCATACGTTTAATGTTTTTGTGTTTAACATAAAGGATTATTTTACAGGTTACTGAACATTTACAACTTAAAATTTAGATACACTTAGAGTTCATATTATTACGTATTAAATATCGAATAAATATAGGTACAAAGTTTGAAATGATTCATTTGTTTTATTAAAATAGAACTTATTATATAAATTATAAAGTATTTAATCGAATGTAGATTTTTATAACTGAGGTTCTTTGCAATCCATCCGCTAGCTATAATAACGTTTGTGGCGATTTGAATCTCAAAGATTTCGCATTTAAATTCCTTGGCGCCTTCAGCCACTTTCTGTGGTACGAGTAATTAAATCACCATGATATACCATTTTGTACTTTGTCTGTCTACCTTATAGTAAAGAATTATGTAAGAAAGAAAATAAGTAGAAGAATTATATATACTTACATATAGTGTTATATAGTTTTAAACTAAACTTCATATTAAAATATTATTTAAGTCAAATTAGAAACATGTATATAGGTACAGCATACAAGTACATAGTCATACAAATAATGAGTTTCTTTAGAATATAAAAGAATATTGATTGTATTATGTAACTAAATTATTATATTTAATTGAGACAAAGAACAAAATGATTCATTGCTCCATTTATAATTTGGACCACATCCCATTTATAGCGAACTCATTCGCAAAATTCAATTTCAATAGCCTTTGTAACATCTTACAGTCAATCTATCATATATAAAATTTAAAAGCTTGTAAAATCTTATATTTCACCAAAATATGGAAACAAGTTGTACTACACGTTTTGGTGCAAAAGTTATTATACCTAAATATTTTATTGTATACGTCCAGATTTAATTGTTTGAAAACTAAGGAAAAACCTTAATAAAAAAATGTATTTTGAATAGATGCTACTTTAATTTTTAGTTTAATTTCGGCTCTGAATCATGATTTAAGTTTAAAATAATGTAAGCAAAGAATTGTCATTGATTAATACCTATATCTCGAGAAAAGTATGGAGAAGTAATATGTATGATATAGTTAATATTTATTATATGATGGTTTTACAACAAAAACTGATTAACTTATAGGTAAGTATATAATGAAAAATTCGAAATTGTTTGTTTTGAAAATACAACTAATGGAAAAAGCCTATTTCTATTTCGTAATTTTCTTCTTTATACGCAAGCTGTCATATGAAAATTATAAGTATTTAAGATACATGCAAGATATAGTAAATATAGTGAAGTATAGTAGTCATAGTCATGGGCTCAGAAGATATCGTAAATATAAAATTACAGATAGACACTTTCAAAATTATCTATTAGAATCCAATCTGGGTTAAAAAAAACTCACAATAGTTCATGATACGATTATTTGAAAAAAGATTTAAATAAGCTTCCCTAAGAGTTCTTAGTAAAAGAAACTAGAAGCTTCTTTGTCGGTAGATGAATTTCCTTGAAATGAAGCACTATTCTTAAGACTGGTAAGTTAAATTAAATTTTGAACAAGAAAACGGGTTAGTAGCACCCGAAACTAGTTTTTTTAATACTGATCATTGTTTTTTATTATCTTTAATGTATAAATATAACAGTATTTTTTCTAAAAGATCAACATTTGTATCTAACCAATTTATTATTTATGTATTGATAGTTAAGCTATGATTTCTTAATTATGATAATTTAAGCTGATTAAAATTATTCCAAGAAACATTTTTGTTATTTAAGACAATATTTTTGAGAATAATATCCTAGTTAAAGATTCAGCTCGTCAGTGTCTTTGGAGTTCGTCGAAATTTAACATGAATTGTATCCAATCACCACCACTGTTTCTTTAATGTGTGATAGTCATCTAAGTCCTGGCTGAATTATCAAATTGAAACCATTTCAAACTGAAGGAATGTTCTCAATATATTTCCTCCAATGATATTGATGAAGTAAGATTGGTAGCATGAAGGAAAGACATTGTATCCAGGATAAAACTGGAACTATTTAAAAAAATAGAAATATACAGAACATACAATTTTATTTGTTTCAAAAAGTTTTAAATACTTTCTGAATATACAATAGTGTGATATATATTAGATCAATTGAGTAACCTACACACAAATATAAGTCTTCACAAAATAATTATTAATAATAAATAATTAACATCAGGCACTTAAAAGTACTGATAATGTTTATCAATAACTATTTCGCTTTATTGAAATATTTTGCCTGGAATTATTTTATTTGTAATATTTAGCATTTTTGTCCATTTCGAATATATATAAATACTGTAAATAAATTATGAAGCAAGTAAGTTACAAGGCAATCACGATGGAGTACCTCTATATCTTCGCTTTGGTATTTGTCATCGGACAAGTCGAGAGCGGGAAAATAAATCTCCCGCAGAAAGAATTTTATAAAAGTAATGACGCAGAGGATCTTTTCATGGAATTTGTCGAAAAATATAATAAAAATTACAACGAGGAAGAATACGCCAGACGTTTCCAGATTTTCAAAGAAAATTTAGAGAAAATTAATGACCTCAATAGCAAAAGCAATTTGACTGTATACGGGATCAATCATTTAACCGATCTTAAATATGAAGAAGTTGCAAATACATATACGGGAATGGGTTCGAATATTGATTACACAAGTTTGGAGAAATACGTGCCAAAAGGATTTGCTCCAGCGAGCTTGGACTATCGTAACAACGGTTGGGTGACTGGAGTGAAAGATCAAAAACAATGTAATACGTGTTACATATTTAGCGCAGTTGGTAAGATTTTGTTCAAATGTTGAAGTATTTTATTGTATTCTTGAAGGTTATAAATTTAATGTCTGTTCAGGCTGTATCGAAGGTCAGCACGCAAAACTGCATGGGACCCTGGTTTCTTTATCAGAACAACAAGAATTAGATTGCCAGAGTGGTGATGGTTGCCAGTCGGGCGGATATCCTGACGCAGCTATGAAGTGAGTAACAAAATTTCTTTTCCTTTCGTTTTCTGATTATACACAACTGAATGACAAAATGTAATATTTTTGTATTTTTTACTCTTATTAAATTTAAATAAATATAATCTATTTAATACCCGAATAGTAAAAATTCATTTAACTTGGTTATGTTCAAAATATGTATTAATATTTCGTCACCTTTACAGTGTACTCGCTCAACAAGGAGGCTGCATGTCTGAAGATAGTTATCCGTATGAGGAAGCAAAGGGACAATGCCGTACTGATCCATCCAAGATTGTGGTTAAAGTTACCGGAGGATCTAAGTTGACGGTTACCAGCGAAGACGACTTAAAAGACGCCTTGGCTAATAACGGCCCACTGTCCATTGGTACGTTACACATTTAATAAACAAAAATATTATAATGAAGAAAATTACTTATAAACCTCACCATATTGGCTGAACTTTAAGGCTATAAGTAGCATATTAGAACAAACAAACCAAATATGTTTAAGTAATTGCGATTGTTAAACCTTATCAGAAATCATTATCCATTTCAAGCATCTACGAATAATTGTTTTAATTAAAAAATATATGTAATTACTGGTAAACAGATACATTTTTTAATAAAAATCAAAACACATTGAATCTTTTAATAGAGTTTTATGTATTTATTCTGTCATATTGCAGCTTTAATTATTTGTCCGGAATTCCAACATTATAGTGGAGGAATATATGAATTTAACTGCCAGGGAAATGACGGGCATGCTGTGTTACTTGTAGGCTACGATTCAGGTATGTATATGATGAAGATATTTCATCAACATTTGAAGTTAGAATTATATATAGAGGAAGATATACTTAGTTTAATTGTTGTTTTTTTTTTTGCTAGCTGATGGCCAGGAATATTGGATCTTAAAGAACTCGTGGGCCACTATCTGGGGAGAAGAAGGATACATGCGAATGAAGTTAGGATCATCGATTTGTAACATAGGAAAATATGTTGCTCTGGCTTCAGTGGCGTAGGCAAGAAGAAACATGTGACTTGTAATCATTTATATGATATGTATGTAATTAAATGAAAGAAACATTGCGATTGAAAATTTATTTTAATGTCCTCGTGATTAAATTAAGTTTAAACAAATATTATAAAACAAATTAATTGTTTGTAAAGAAGATACAAATTTGAGAAAAAAGATTGAAATGCTTTATATATGTTACTGATTATACAAGACTTATTAGAATTTTTAGTTCCAACAATAACATAATACGAAAAGTAAATAAATACACTGTGAGTTTATTTTAATATAAAACAGTCTATGTAACTCTATCGGCATATTGTTCGAATGTTGAAGACTTTTGCTTATCATAGGATGAATTAACAAAGCAAATGATAGGTCCAGACTATTTCCGATATTAAAAATTATTTTTCAAGTCAGGTCAAGTCAGATTATTCCTATTGGCAGACTTAGTAGGACCGTTGACCACAAAGATAGATACGCCAATTTTTCGTTGTGTATATTTACGCTTAATACTAATTAAAGCCTTCCATTCACTACCTACGTTAAAGATCTTGATTTACATTAAGTCAACTACTAATTCCTAGTCTACAATCTACATTGAGGAATAACATTTGCATAATCTTAGTAGGTTCTAAATTCTTAGCTCTACTTCAATCAATAATTGTGTTAGCACATTCTCTCCTCTGTTTCAATTTGGATGACTCTGATGAACTTATTTTAAATAAATCCCAAATCTTGACATATTTTAATTAATTGAAAATACGTCTCAAATTCAGCTGACACAAATATGACTACATATCGAACATTTTGGTCACTGATCACATTTCGAGAGGCTTCTCCTACACTGTCACTTTCAGATTCACCATCTCTCTTGTGGTATGTGTTATTTCATCATAAATCGCCTTCTTACCATAAGCATATAATATTAATGTCATTCTGTAGTTTAAGTTTAATATTTTTTTAATTTTTGACATGTTTCCAAATTTCCTTTTTTAATGACAAAGGGGGCAAACGAGCAGACGGCCTACCTGACGGAGGTAGACCAACGTAGATTTGGGGAAGAGGGAAAGGAAAGGTTGGGAAAAGGGAAATGGCAGGAAAGGGTGAGAAAAAGGAAAGGGTTACCGGCTCTCTCACTCATCGGACGAAACGCAGCCATTAAGGACTACTTAACGCCGATCTTCTGTGAGAGTATGGGACTTTCCCGGTCGTGCCAGCCCTTGTTCGAGTTGTAGTAATTTGACCAGTGAATAAAGTCACCAGAAACACTTATCACAACCTAAGATTGTTTCAAAGAAAGATCCTGACCTACAGGCGACAATAGTTCTCTTTTTTCACTTGATTTTTTGTATAAATGTTTTATTTTTCGCTATTTGTCCCTAGTGTAGTGTCAACAATGAGGGATATTTATGTCTGTCTATTTCTTATAAGTATTTTTACAAACATACTAACTGGAGAAACTTCAAATATATGTACATTGTCTCTCAACCAAAAAAATCCAATTAATCTTTCTTTTTTCCATATTTCTTCGCTAACTTACGAATCTACTTTATTAAAAAAAACTCTTATCGTATGAAATTTTAAATAAAATAATATCTAAAAAAGAAATTCATCACTTTTCCTAAATTTAATTATAAAAAACCATATGAAGTTGATACCGTTGTTCATCTTATAGATGTTTAAGAGTAATTCCGCAAAATACCGAATTTCTTTTACTAACGAACCAAAGTAAAATTCTAAACTACTTAAAAGTAAATGGAAAAAAGTATTGGTTATTTAATAGAAATTTTGGTAATTAATAACAAAATAGAAATCAAACGTACTTATCAATAATATTTGCAATAGTTGCTTAAGCGGAGGACGTAAATAATATATACATTCCTAGAATGTCATTTTTTATGACACTCATATAATTCTCGGAATTATATTTAATTTACGTAGAAAGCTGTATAGTTAAATAATCCGTCACGTGTCGTTTAGCTCGTCAATACATTTATGTCGTATTTTCATCAAAAGGCATGTACGAGAATCGATATAATTCAATGAATAAAATAAGTGAAGTAAAAAAATGATTGAAAATTGATAGATAAAGCAAATTAATCTAATGTTAAATTCAATGTCATAATTTTATAACATTAGATGAATTATTTTTAGTTTTTTAAGTAGATAACAACATTAAACATTTATCTAACTACTTCTAAATGATTATACACTTCGGATAAAAGTCTAAAGGGTTGGCTCCTTTTTAGTTCATTATACAAAAAATATATATGTATTTACATTAATTTATCGAAATCGTATATGATAATTAATAATTAATCGTAATAATTGAATTCCATATATTTTTTTGTCACTTATTATAATTGTTGTCTTTTCTGTAAATGTCGAAAACGAAGACAACATTCCTAAGTATGTACATATTTCGTATTGTTGAAATACTTTCCCTTTTATTTGAATTTTTCTGCTTCGTTTTACAAATATTCTATTGCTATAAAGGTTTATAAGGAAAAACATTGACAAAGTTAATCATATCCATCTGTACCGCTGCAGCTATGAAGCTCTTGTTTTTCGTCTCAATATTAGTCATTGGACACATAGGGGCGTCTAATTTGGATCTGCCACCGAAAATATTTTACGATTTAAATAACTCAGAGGATCTTTTCGAGAAATATGTGATTGAATATAACAAACATTATAACGAAGAAGAATATCGGGCGCATTATGAAATATTTAAAGAGAATTTAGAAAAAATCAATGAACTCAATAAAAATAGTGATTCAACTGTATATGACATTAATCAATTTACCGATCTCAAGTTTGAAGAAGTTGAAAGTAATTATATGGGAATGAGTGCAAACATTGACGTCACGAATGTTAAGATTTACGAACCTAAAGGTTTTGCTCCAGCTAAATAAGATTACCGTAAAAAAGGTTGGGTTACTCCTATCAAAGATCAAGGTCATTGTAATACGTGCTATATTTTTAGCGCAGTTGGTAAGATTTAAACCATTTTGTTGTTGACGTCGCATGAATTATTTTCTTATAGGTTTATAATTTGAATTTCTTTTCAGGTGCCATCGAGGGTTGGGTGGCCAGGCTCTATGGAAAACTGATTTCTTTATCAGAACAAGAAGCATTAGATTGTGATGATGGTCACGATGGTTGTAAATCAGGTGGCCTTCCGGTGAATGCCATGAAGTAAGTTCATTATAAAAGAAAACCAATATTAATATTTTTTTCCAAATGATTGGGACTCAAATAAAAAAAGAACCTTGGTTAACTCCCCTATATATACTTTTATTGTGCATACATATCATTCGATTATTATTAAAGCATGTTCTATGTTTTAAGAGTTCTTAGTGAACAAGGAGGATGTATGACAGAAGTAGACTATCCATATGAACAGAAAAAGAGACAATGCCGTACAAACAGCTCAAGGATTGTAGCGAAAATTTCTGGAGGGTTACAAATACATGTAAAAGATGAAAATGAGTTAAAAGACGCTTTGGCCAATTATGGCCCATTATCTATTGGTAAGATTAAAGATAAAGTTCTGTTTCTATTCGTAATAAGATTATAACTGTATGCTTATTTTGGACTTGGAAATATGAGAAATATTTTACAGTAGAATAATCATATATTTGATTTATATAATTAATATACGAATATTTTATACAAACATATTTTATATATTTTAAGGAGATATCCTACGCTTAAGTATTTAATTGTTTGACATATAATATCAGATATTTACCTAACGAAATGTAACTAAGAACTTTTGCGTATGTGTATCAGTCTTTCCTGACAAAGGGCTAGTTCTTTGGTCGTACCAGATCACAATAATAACTCACTTATTCTATAATATTTCAGGATTAATTGTAGGTGAGGACTTTGGTGCTTATAGAGGAGGTATATTCAGAGGTAGCTGTAAAGGAAAGGGGCGTCATGCTGTGTTGCTTGTAGGTTACGATTCGGGTGAGCAGGACGTTGAAGTAATGAAAAATTATATTCTTATATATATTATTTATTTAAAACTATATAATTTTTTTGCATTTCTTCAGTTAATGGTGAAGAATATTGGATCATAAAGAATTCGTGGTCCACTCGCTGGGGAGAGAAAGGCTACATGCGTATGAAGTATGGAAAATCACTTTGTCGTATCGGAAGTTATGTTGCTGTAGCTGTATAAATTAAATAAAAAATATAAATGTATATACAATTCTAACCTATTTTATGTAAGATATCTACAAATAAAGTGCATATCAAAAGGATAAGACTTGCCTTGTCAACTTTGTTTTCTATTCTATTAGGGGGTAGCAGGTGTTGTTATCTGATTTCATCTAATCAATCGGGTAAAAAGATAAGAAGGAAGTAATTTCTTAACACGGGTTCGCTGCCAGGTGCAGCGTTTTATATACGATCTTCCACAAAGGAAAACTTAGAACAACAACCCTGTATTATGTTCGTACGTAATTTAATTAGAACATTAAGGAATTATATATATAGAAATAAAGCAAAAAAAAAAAGTATTATTTATTTAAACAAAATCAATCCAAATTATTACGTGTCTATTTCAATAAATATACCTTTATAAATTATTATCATTGCACCTTAAATCAATCGTACTTGTCATGGTTTGGGACAATCAAACTTGTATGAACGATTTAATGAGCTGGTGACGTAACGCCGCTAATGAGGAAGGAACGAACCTCGACCGGGATGTCCACAATTAACGGGATCATAACAAATCCCCGGGAAGCTGATCAGGGCGAGGACAAAACAGCAATTACAACTGCGCAGTTTATTAATATCCTTAATACACAACGAATAAACAGAATAGGTTGATGAAAGTTTTAGACAGAGGGAAAATATGTTATGAACATTGGTTTAATGGAAGGAATTTATGGTTTATCTCGGAAATAGGGATTGAAATTTATTAATATGATAAACAGTATTAGAGTTAATATAAGCAATAAAAAACATTAAGAATAAATATTAACTTGTGTTATTCCCACTGTTTTATTTAAAAAAATATTTTTTAAAACCCAAAACAACGTTCGTATAGCAAAGTTTTGATTTTTATATTAATTTGTTTGTACATTGATTTTATCAGTTAAAATACATCGTTGTTTAAATGAAGCCTGAACAAGAATGTTATCACTGAAACGAAAACTTGTCTACAATTTCAAAAGAAAATTCACTTTCTTTGAAATCTTCACCTACATATATGTAAATACATGAAAATAGAATAAAAATGAGTAAATTCTAACATCAAATATTATTCTTATTGAATTAAAAAGTGGATCTAAATGTATGTACCTATATATTATGTAAGATATAAAGAATAAATAATTATTTATATCAAAGATATTAAAGGGTTTTTGTTTTTTTAACTTCATCTATTGTCGAAAATAATTTCAAATCCTAGCCAAATATATTGTAAAATGTATTTGTATAATGTATTGTAAAATTAATAAACTCATTCATATATTTTTTATCAAATGATTTATATATAGATGATATATTTTCTATTACTTTAAGCAGGGTGTGCTTATCTAGAAACTATTAATATACATTTTTAATTACATGTTTCGCTATACTATCACAAGTCTTGCTGAATATTTATAGGATGTACTACGCGATTTTATTTTTGATAAAAAAATTACATACTCCCGGCGCGGTTTCGGTTACTTTACAGCAACCGTGATCACGGGCAGATGAGGTGTGAGTGTTTGTCAGTTGGTCTTGTTATTTTATTACCTACCGCCAGCGATTTCTTAATTTTCTGGCGTACCGCTCTGGGATCCTCTTCTTAAAAATATAAAATCCCATGTCCGTGACCACACCGAAGGACCTCGAGACATCGTAAGCACATTCTGCCGGAATTCAGTAATTTGTAACAGTTATATGGAATCCAAGACAAAATAATGATCAGGACTTTCTCTTAAAGAAAGCATGATACTTTCCGAATGCTAAATATAATAAAATATATATATATTTTTTATTACTTGAAAGAAACTTAGAAGACAGTCAATATTAAAGTTTTTTAATTTTATTGATTAATACTTTTTATTTCTGTTAAGGATAGCTATATACCTAAGTAGAGTTCGTTAGTAATCAGTAATCAGAGACCGTTAAGTAACTATAGCATATGACGTAATAAACCTATAATCATTATCATTTATATCACAAATTAATAACACCTATTCTGTCAATCTTGCGTTCACTCCCTTTTAATTTTCCACTTACCCGCTGACTTCACATTCACTACTTGAATTATAGACTCTATATCATATAACAATAAAGTTGGTTTTCCAATGCTAACAATATCCCAGGGTTGTCACAATTTCGTTTTAATACAAGCTAACGACGTCTATGAAGCACTCAACAGTATTAAAATGATAAACGCAGTGTGCTATCAAGTATGGAAATCTCCCAATTTATTACTACAGCTCGTTATTCTATTAGGTTAACAAAATTTGGGGTTAATAGAGTCATCTAGGTTATTGCGTGTAATACAGGGTGTTAGCGTCACGCTTCCGTTTTAATATGTAAATGTGATAGACACATTATTAGAACACCCTGATTTTGTTTTTACTATTTTTTCATGCTAATTTGGATATGACAAAAATTTATCGCCTCTATTGTCCTTTTTCAAAATTAAGATAGGCTTGTCGAAAATTTTACATAAAAACCCTTACTTTATTTTCATTAGGTATGTGTAAGAAAGATGAAACTTATGTTTCTCCTTTGCCCGTGATCACTGTTGCTGAAAATTAATCGAAACGTCGGGAGTATGCAGTTTTTAAAATATTAAAATACGCGTAGTATAATCCAAAAAATATTAGCTTCATTTAAATAAACAACTTGCAAAAGTCTTAGATCACATTATATAAGAAAAATATTAAGTAACATTTAAAATAAATTTTTTCAATATGTTATTTTTGGACAAAAAGAACGATTTATTTTAAATCCAATTTGTTATTTTTCACGAAATTTAAAAAGTAATAATCATGTTCCTGCTACTCTAGAAGAGAAGGCATTAATTTAATTTCCTAACAGAGTTATAAAATAAAATATCAATAGATATATATATTTCTTCATACAAATGCGGGCATCTAATTTATTAACTTAAAACAATGACATTAAAGCGGCGCGTGCGCGAAACGATTTTCAAATATTAAAACGACTATGAGAACGTAATGGCCCTCATTATGAAATCTAAACACAAATATAGGCCCTACCATTGTTAGAACTCGACATAAATACACCTAAAACTCTTTCATGAGAGGTAAATTCGTAAAATAGTCTATAGTGGACAGGTTAATAATGAAAATTATATATTTTTTTGTATATAGCAAATTCAAATTCATGTATTTTATTTCTCTTTTTAACTAAAATGTAAAGAAACAAATCTAAACAACATTAATTATGTATACGTATATGTATATAAAAAAATAATCGTCAAAAGAAATAGAAATAAAATATATATGTAGTATCATAGTACGGGCAGTAATGTTCAAACAAAAAACTATCCGTAAGTTTAAATGGTAATTTACCTGTAGAGTAAACATTCACGTCCGATTTTTAAAACGGAATGAGCTCCGTGTGTTATTACGAGCTATATATCAAAATATTGTAAAAGTGACTGCTGGTTTCCCTATGTTTACTCGTCAGTGGATAACACCGCAAGCAGTTTGCTCAATAAACATATAAAATATCACACGATTACAACCTTTATAACATTAGAATAAGGGATAGACTTGAGTGTAGTGATATAGCTAGTTTTGTTATCCGTTGTATGTACATCGTAAGCCGGTCACGCGCTGTTAGATCCAAAAGCTCATTAACTGAAGGGTCATCGTAATAGGCGGTATAAAAACTGCAAACAAACAGTTTTCTATGGCACTGATAAAATGACTAATCCGAAAATTGTGACGTTTTAATAATTAAGTTAATTTATATGACCTTTTTTTCGTCTAAAACAAAGTAATGCAATCTTTTTTACAATAAAAATGCAGAATTTTAAGTAACTCGAGTATTTTACTGTAGCATCTTGGAAAACAAACGTGAAAATAGTTAATACATTTTAAATGCTCTCGAAGAAAAAGAACAATCTTCAAAGAATCTACGGTCCCGGTTATTTCTAAGGAAGCTCTTAAGACAAAAAAAAAGTTCATTTGCCAGGCCTCGGAAGCAATTAGTTCAGTCAAATGTCACTTGAAATTCTCATTAGTTGCTAAAGAATAAAAGCTATTTAAAATGAAAAACACTTTGTTTATTAACAAAGTACTGGGAAGAGACCAGGAAAAAATACTCAGAGGGTGCAATAGCTTTAGGTATCTTAACTTTATAAAAGAGACAATTTATCTATGTTATCTATTACATATATTAAACGTAAATATTATCTTCTCATTTATAAAGAAATCTTCTCATTTATAAAGAAAAATTTTCGACAATGCTTTTAGGTAAATGATAGGGTATTTTCAGAAAACCTTCAAATATTACAAACTTTAACTATTACCCAAAATAATAATAATGCTGAAACGTCAAATTTATTCATATAAATTGGATATTAGTATATAAAAATAGCAATAAAAATCTATAAACATGGAACAAAAGATATATTTTCTTTCTTCCATATAGTTCGTCTAAAAATCACAATAACCCCTTGATGAATATAACGTTAATTCAACAATTGATTGTTAAACTTAATTAGAAGTATTTTAGATGAAGCTCGTAAAACCTTATTAATTTTAACAACCATTTTACAGTTAATTTTATCGAACACATAAAAATTTAACAGAAATCAACTGAATTTAGCACTCCACTGTAATAAAGTGACCGTAAACATTATCTAATCGAATGGTTTTTTAAGGAAATTAGAAAAAAAAACTATAACACGACCCGTAGCAATTGGTTGAAAAACAATAAAAATCCTACCCCGATGGTACGTTGATTGAGAAAGATGACTGCCACTGTGAGAACATAGATTATAAGGGCTCTTTAACCCTTACCGATTATTACGTATTTTTTATTTTATTGACGTCATTATACAAATATATACTATAGGAACAGTATTCATATTTACGTAAATTCTCCTGATTTGATAGAAAATACAGACACATAAATAATGTCTATACTAAAAGTATTCAAAGAGTTTATAGGAGAGATAGCTAATAATTTTAA